ATTTCATAATATGATTTGTATTTTTAGGAATTTTATTTAATTTAGCATTTTAATGATATACTCATTTAAATACATATTCAATGAATAAATGTTAGCTCTATTTATTACATGATACATTATTTTATGTGATATTTACATCAATGTATTTTATTATATGTTTTGGCTCCACATACAGGGGTAATATCACAATGTCTGTGATAAAGCATCAGGCGAGCCCTCAGGGGTCCCCAACCCCCACTTTAGGAACCCGTTTCACAACCAGTGAAGCGTTGATCTAAGTAACGATTGAAACAACCTAATTAGCTGACTAGTTTTTCAATGTTTGATCAATCATCAGTTTATTTATTTCAGCACTAAATCTGTAATAAAATCAATAAGCTTCAAGGTTCAAACTGCGCTTTTTTTATTGGAGGGGAAATGAAACCACTGGGTGGAACGTCTCATGTAGGCACTTCAAATCAACAGAAGCAAAAATAAACTGGAAAAATCTCCATCATCAATATGTTCCTGGGATTTTATACAACAGCAGCTCCTGGTCTGAGTGATTCGCTCCCTGAAAGAAAAACAAACTCGTCTCATTTGACCTTCTGCAGCTGGGGTCAAGTGGAGTTCTTCCCTCTGAAAGTCGCTCATGTTGCACAGCTGTAAAACCAAACCCGCTCTTCAAAGTGTGTGGCGGACCGCAAACAAAAAAAGAGCAAAAATTTACAAAGCATGGAGCTAAAAAAAGGAGATCCGAACAACACAGACATCAGTTTATACTTTTTCAGTCCTACAATGTGGGGAATGAAAGAAGGAAATGCAGAAAGTACAAGATGACACAGAGAGCAGCTTTTTTTTTTTTTTTTTGTCTTTTAGTCTTTTTTGTCTTCAAAATAGGTCTGTTCGATGCGCCTGCAGAACATCAGCAGGTTGTTGTAGCTCTTCACCCTCTCTGCCAGCTCAGTGCTGGTCAGTCTGGTGGTGAGAATGGTGAAAAGATGGCCGAACACCAGAGCGTCCAACTCGGTAGCCCTGCAACACAAAAATAAAGAAATCCAGTATCATGCGGAGTGAGGATGCTTCCTCTTCAACAGAGACGGACATTAAATGCAGCAAGTAAATGAGCGGCTGAAGATGTTTTATCTACAGGCTGAGACAATACCATGACATCATCACTGTGACGTGCTCCTCTCAGCAGAAGCACTTTGATAAATAATGGATGACATTATGTCCCTTGAACAC